CTGGCATATCAACATTACATGGTTTAGTAGTGGATTGCATCAAGTAGTAGCTTTTCACAGATGAGGATTTTGAAGATCATGGACCAGCTGTTGAAACCCTCTTCATATTTTAATGTCCAGGAAGAACTTTAGGTTCATTTTTTTGCATTCCCACTTATCCTTTACCTAGAAAAACAGGACAAAATGGCATTTGGTCAGCATCGACATATTAAAAATTATGTTTAACCAACAGTGGGTGTTAAAATATTTTTTTTTTCTTTTTCTAGTTTGAGTTTTATCAGCTGTGCACAGAGACTTCCAAATGTCCTTTGATTTTCATTTGTTTAGCAATTTTGTATTATTTATTCTGAGTCAGTTATAGTAGTATGTCTATACTAACCTGGATGTTCTGTGCTTACATATTATTTCACTGGATCTGCCTGTCTTCTTACAGTTTCTGGGTTTTGTTTGTTTGATTTTAAAGCTATGCATAGCTCTTTGGGATTTTTAAGCATTGACTAAAATAATATAAATAGTTTTAAGGGGAAATAAAAGTTTGGTTTGGGTTTTTTTTAAAATTTTTTTTAAGTGAGTAAGAATGAACATACTGTGAGGGGCAAGTTGAGCACTCAGTTCCATGTTTAAGACTCATTAATATTCTCTTAACAGAAACAAAATAAACAGTGACAAGGATTGTGGAATGCCTGCTCAGTTTCCTCAGGACAAAAGAAAGAGAGGATATTGTGAATGTTGTGGGAAGAAATATGAAGATCTGCAAACAGTATGTGAAATGTCAAGTATATCAAGCTTTGATACGATCATATCTCTTTAATGTGGTATCACCAGAGGTTTCTCTATAATTTTTTATGTTAAAATATTTTTCTGAATAACCAGAAAATTAGTATTTTTTTCCCATGTTAGAAGCAGCAATTAAGATTTAAACCTATTTCTGATAGCTGAAGGCACTAGTAATTCATGTCTTAGAAATGTTGGTAGTAAATTATGATATTTGCTTGCTCCTTGTTGTACTGTTGACTTACATATTCCTATCTGTAATATTAGATTTATTTCATATTTTTTCTTTATTGCAGCATCTTGAAAGTGAGCGGCACCAAAATTTTGCACAAAGCACACAGTATAAAGTTGTTGATGATATAATCTCAAAGTTAGTTTATGAGTTTGTTGCATACAAAGATGATGATACAGGAAAAATAAAAGGGTGAGTATTTACATTTTGTAAATTCTAAAGAATCTGGGAGTCAGGACATTGAATATAAAGATAGTTCTGAAATTCTTGATCTGAATAGAACAGGATAAATTCATGTTTTTAAGGATGAAATAAATAATGGAAATTTTCAATGAGGTTGTATGTGGCAAATCAGTTCTGTAAAGCAGAATCTAAAAAAAAATCAGGAGTGCAGATGATATCAGAGAAAGAT